TAAATGTTAATATCTTTACACTAGTGATATGAGCTTATAGCTGATTAGGTTCAACAACCTGTCTGTTGTAAATGTTAATATCTTTACACTAGTGATATGAGCTTATATCTGATTAGGTTCAACAACCTGTCTATTGTAAACGTTAATATCTTTACACTAGTGATATGAGCTTATATCTGATTAGGTTCAACAACCTGTCTATTGTAAACATTAATATCTTTACACTAATGATATGAGCTTATATCTGATTAGGTTCAACAACCTGTCTATTGTAAATGTTAATATATTTACACTAATGATATGAGCTTATATCTGATTAGGTTCAACAACCTGTCTATTGTAAATGTTAATATCTTTACATTAGTGATATGAGCTTATATCTGATTAGGTTCAACAACCTGTATTGTGTATTATTAGTGTTAATTCATGAGCTGAGGGTGGACATTGTGTATTATTAGTGTTAATTCATGGACTGAGGGTGGACGTTGTGTATTATTAGTGTTAATTCATGGGCTGAGGGTGGACATTGTGTATTATTAGTGTTAATTCAGAACAAGTTTTTCACACCAAATGAAGATTGATGATTCTTTTAACTTTCTTTAATTTTGTAAAGGCCAAAAATTATAAACATTTGGTAATTAGAAAGAAAATGAAAATTGTTTTGTTTTCATAAAAAATAGTTGAATTAATTCATTGTTTGAGAAAATGTTCATTGTTGTCAGTATTTTATAAATTTTACCCATTTTGTATTTTTTTTTTTAGGTTTTTGTTAAAGTCATGAAAATGTTCACATTTTGTTACGGTTTTGAAATTTTACATCGCACCTGTAATTTTGTAGTTCTGTGTAACCAGGATGTTGAAGTGGTATGTAAATGTAATGTTGATTAATTTTTCAGATCCCATTCGGACAACCAGGGGATTCTTGTCTTTGAAAGCGTTTCGGCTTACGGCTGCAGCAATGCGAATGTACTTGGAAGGAGAATTTACAATAGTGTGTTACTGTAATCACTGGTCATGTCATTTATAAACTAACTTGTCTGTGTGGAAAGATTTCCTGGAGGCAATGAAGCTTATTTTATTGAAAATGTACGGTATATAAAAATGAAACTACTTGTAAGAAGTGTTCTATTCTGTTGTTTATTTATTTTAAAAAAATGGAACTATGTGTACCATGTTCTTCATGGGCTGAGGGTGGACGAGTGTGTTACTCTAATCACTGGTCATGTCATTTATAAACTAACTTGTCTGTGTGGAAATGTGAGGCAGAACTTGAGGGCACGTGTATCCTACAGATTAAAATTGTGCAGTACATATTATTTCTATACTCAACACTCACTTCATATTCTGAAGTTGTTGATGCTATTTTACCTATCAAATGAAACAAGTGCCTTTTGTTAAATCAAGTAAACAGTTGTCAAAAGTTAGACACCATCATATTATAGATAGATAACTTGTATACACAAACTGTTAAGATTAATTAATTATTCTTCAGCATACCATAAATAAGGACAACGGATTCTTCGACAGAACTCTGATAACTGTACTGCGACTCCAGCAGAGGCTTGTTGAAATAGCTTCCAAAATGTGTGCTCTGGTACCAGCCAACGTGAAGGTGATCAACGTTGACTTGCCGAAGATGTCTCATCATTTCCATCTGATATTTCACTGAAATAAAGAAGATACTTTAAATGACATGAAAGGTGACACCCCAGGCAGTTGATGAGCACATTTTCTGTCATAGTTCAAATGAATAAAAAGATAAAAGGCATGTTTCTAAAATCCATCACTTGCTTGCAAAACGTTTAAAATATATTTGGTTTTATAGTTATTATACATTTTTTAAATAAAAGTCACATTAGAAGAACTTAAAACAACAACAATAGAACAAAACAATGCACATTTAAGTATTTTTGTAAGGTTGTCAGCATTCCCATAGAATCCAAGAGAAAGCAACAACCTATCAGATAATACACCAGCAAAGTAGGCTTAACATGAACTAAGCCTACTTTGCTTAACATGAACTAAGCCTACTTTGCTTAACATGAACTAAGCCTACTTTGCTTCTGGTTATATTTAAGGGTTCTACAAGATATTTTTTGTACGGATCAAAAGCACCAAGAGCAAGTTACTCTATATACTTGAATGTTTATGTCTAAATGTCACATATCAAGTGCTAGATTTAATATCGCTCTAAACCAGTCTTCCAAAGCACAAGCACGGTTTCTAGGATATCCAATATTTAGTCTTCCAAAGCACAAGCACGGTTTCTAGGATATCCAATATTTAGTCTTCCAAAGCACAAGCACGGTTTCTAGGATATCCAATATTTAGCAAAACCAGCCGTTTTTCCCCAAAAAATACGTGTCCAATTAAACTTTTAAAGTGTGGGTAAAGCATATAAAATAGCTTTAATAACATATAATTAGTGGTTTCAGCCTATTCTAATAAACAAGCTTCTAATTTGACCACAAACTAATTTCTTTTGCTAAAGTGAACAAACAACCCTAAATGACAACAAAATTACACCTATTTAAGTATACAATGTTATGTAATGTTTCCAAACGTCAGATGGTACACTGAACCACAAAGAAGTAGCACTCCGTGCAATGCACTTCAAATTTCTTTCTTGTCCAGAACAGTTAAAATTAACCTCTTGTCACAGTTAAAAAGGCCAATAACATAAGAAGTTTTGGAACATGGATAAGTTACTACAAACTATCAAGGTTTAACTGATTGCACCTTTAAAAATATTATGAAATCGTTAAAACTAGAACAAGATACCGTATGTTATCCAAACCTTCATCAAAGTCCTCATCATCAGTGTGTCGAGGAAATGGAAAGCAATTAGTTATCTCCAAATGGTTATCAGCAACAAGACCTAAGAGTACACCCTGGGCAACATCTGTGGCACCTGCTCCTTCTTCTTGACAATGTCGCACTATTTTCAAAACAACCTGCATAAAAAGTTAAAGTTTAAAAATGGACTATTTGGTGATTAATTCATATGGCTAAAAACTCCTAATGACAATTACCTGGCCTAACAAACAAGACTTTATAGTTAAGTTTTTACCAGTAATTGTATAAGAAAGGCTTCCTGTGGTCAGTATATTCAAATATTGGATGTTTTTAAAGACTTCTGGCATATTTCTGAATTTGTATTTTTCATTAATATCTAACTAATTCAAACAAGACCTTTACGGACCTACAGCACAAAGAAAAATAACCACAATTCAAACAAGACCTGTAAGGACCTACAGCACAAAGAAAAATAACCACAATTCAAACAAGACCTATAAGGACCCTACAGCACAAAGAAAAATGAATCAAGTCTCGTACAGAGAATGTTCTAGTAAAAATGGAAAAGGAGAACATGTTTATGAAAACTCGTTCATTTTTTATTTGTACTTGTCAAGCTACAATTAGAATACTGTGGTTATTTTTCTTTGTGCTGTAGGGTCCTTACAGGTCTTGTTTGAATTGTGGACCTATGTCTAAAACCACACCTAATTCATTTTTACTAGAACATTCTCTGTACGAGACTTGACACTTATGTCTAAAACCACACCTAATCCATTTTTACTACAACATTCTCTGTATGAGACTTGATATCTGTCTAAAACCACACCTAATCCATTTTTACTAGAACATTCTCTGTACAAGACTTGACATCTATGTCTAAAACCACACCTAATTCATTTTTACTACAACATTCTCTGTACGAGACTTGACATGTGTGTCTAAAACCACACCTAATCCATTTTTACTACAACATTCTCTGTACGAGACTTGATATCTATGTCTAAAACCACACCTAATCCATTTTTACCACAACATTCTCTGTACAAGACTTGACATCTGTGTCTAAAACCACACCTAATCCATTTTTACTACAACATTCTCTGTATGAGACTTGACACCTATGTCTAAAACCACACCTAATTCATTTTCACCACAACATTCTCTGTACGAGACTTGATACCTATGTCTAAAACCATACCTAATCCATTTTTACTACAACATTATCTGTACGAGACTTGACACCTATGTCTAAAACCACACCTAATCCATTTTTACTACAACATTCTCTGTACGAGACTTGACACCTATGTCTAAAACCACACCTAATTCATTTTTACTAGAACATTCTCTGTATGAGACTTCATACCTATGTCTAAAACCACACCTAAGTTTTTTGCTCAAAACACAAAATTCCTCTTCATAGAAACAACCAGATATTTTTTAGAATTCCTCACCCAATGTCTGAATTATATTAAAACATCAATACTATTATTTTGTATGTTTGTGTATATACATACAAAGATGTATTATAAAATCATTGTGATGGTAAGAAGTGAGCTCCAGTAAAACATGGATCTCAAAATGATTCAAACTCCAGGTCTGAATTCTGACCATCATGAGTTTTTATATTTCTAAAGGGTTTTAAAAAAGATAAAATGTTAATAATAACAGATGTGTGTGTGTGTAAAGAAAAGTTATTGAGATTTCAATTATTTAATTATAAAAATTCACCATTTAGTAAAGAAAAAAAAGAGGGCAGCTTTCTGCATACCAACCATACCACAAAATCCATTAAAACTAGACCCTATTAATGAGTGGCAAAGGTTGTTAGAATGCTTTATAAAATTATGTATAACATTTATCTAATTCATTAATTATTCATAACTCTGATTAAAGCCAGCTACCTACATAGATCAGAATTAAAAATTAATCAGCTATTGAATATAACTAATATATATATATATACCATCTTTATTTATATTTATTTAGACCTCACTAGTTCATCAGTTGGATACATCTGATGTTAGCAAAATTTTCTGCTGTAATTTTAATAGTATCTTATGAGGTTCATCCAGCTTAGAAGATTAAAGTTAGTCTTAAATCCATATACTGATCTAACAATGAAAAATTATCTTCATAACAGAATAAATATTAAACCATTACTGTTAAGGAAATCAGCATTAAAGAAAGAATATGTTAAAACTTTCCACAAAAGATGTATCTTACATGACTTCTAATTATTATATAAGAGCAAAGCAAACTGCTGAAGTCAAAGGCTTAGCAAAATCCTCAGAAATCTTTATAAAGTACTGAGACATCTTTACATAAATTTAGTCTTTAGGAGCATGGCTAATATTTTCTCTTGGTTTAAAACTCTTGTAAGGTCTGGCTTAGAATATTATGTTCAATTTTGGTTTCTTATTACCAATTTCTACAATTGCTACAGAAGAGGATGGCAGCTGCTAAAGTGATTCCTAATTTTAAAAAGACACAAATTATGGAGTTATATATATAAGTAAAAAAATCTCTTGTAAGTCAGGAAAATTAGGAAAAACTTTGATTTAGTATGTGGTCACTAGTAATTTCATTGCACGTTAATGAGAACAACTGACAACATGAATTTTTTGAAGGAATGTACAAATGTTGACAATCATAACTCCAAAAATGCTATAAATATCATGTTTTTCCTTTTATACAGTGCTTCTGTACTATCATTCTTAATGGACGAGCATGTTCGATGACAGGATTTGAATTCACGACTCACAGATTGTGAGTAAAGTGTGATAATCGCCAGGCCATCTGTCGTTTTACGGTATCATCGGTTAAGGTGACTGTGGCATTCAGAGTAAAGGTCATGTCCATATTTTACGGCAAACACTATATTTATATTACATGCCATTGGTGGTACAACAAATAGGAGATGCATTAATTCTGTCACTTCGACACAATACAAAACAATGAACAAGTACAGTTAGAATCTCAAGGATTGACAAGTGAAGGATGTCAATTCCTCTAAAACCCATCTTTGGAAGTAGAAAGGTAGCAGGTCTTTCACATATGTCTGGATCTAATATTGTTGGCAAAGTCACTTCCTAAAATTGTTCAAATCAAGCTCAGATGAAATTATTGAAACCTTCAGTGAATTAGCCAAACATATGCAAATTTCCAAGGCAACAACACAAGCACTGGAAAAAATTCAAAGAAGTTATATAAACTGACAACATCACACAATAGACTGTCCAATTCAAAGTAGGGTATGTACAATAAAAACAAGCTGAATCAGAACATCTAACTCTGATAAGGTCAGTGTTAACTAAAATAATTACGTTATTCATATGGCTACAATGAGGCAGCAGGAAGATTTTGCTCATATAAACATACCAGATCCTTGTAAACATGGGCAGTAGCTAGAGGATGTCCCTAATTCCAGGTCACAGCTGGACTTATTAAGTGTTCACATTCTTGACATCACACTGCTCTTGTACAACTACAAGTCTCTACTGCACAGAAATGTGCAAATGTGGTGTGGATTATGAAACAAGTGAGAAAACAATAATAAATCTTGCATTTTGGTTGGAAATGACAATGACGATACTATCTAATGGTGCTTTGTATTGCTCAAATCCAGGAGATTTTGTAGAAAACACTGAAATTATTATGCTTCTTCATGTTATTTAGTGCTATATATATATATATATCTGACTGGTATCTAGAAATCTAAATTTTTCCAAAATAATTTATATTAACCTTCATGTGGCTTGACCTTGGTGATAAAAAATGACAGTATTGTTTCTTGAATTCCCAATGACCCAAACTTTAAAATCATATCTGTTGTTCGTATTCCTTATCAAGTTAACATGACAGCTAACTTCAGGACTAATTAAAGTGAATGTTCAAAATAATTAAAGGATAGCAACAACATTCCATCAAAAGGTTGAATTATTATTAAGATAAGGTTTCAAAGTTTGGATGGTTAAGTTTATAGTTAAAGGAAGGCTATATGGTATTTTTATAGCAGTTGATAAGATGACCTTGATGGGTAAATCATCATTTACGTATTACTTTAGATTAAAAATACTTTGTAAAAAACTGAAATTAACTTACTACTCAATTTCCTTCACATTGCAATTTTACTGAAGTTTTAATATTTAAAATTTTTCTCTACTTTTTTTATATAAAAAAATTAATTAAGAAACCTCATCTTTAAAATATTCAAAAACAATTAAATTTTTTGTTGGCTTAAATAATAGATCTATACTTTTTATTTATCTAGTCAACTAAAAAAAAAAACAATCTATAAAACACTGAAAACATTAAGTAATCAAACGCTTACACATCAATTTTGAATAGAAAGGAAACAATACAACGACAGAAGATTAAAAAATTTAAATATGACTTAATGGAAGCAGGGCTTGAATAGTCAGTTTACTTAGTATTTAATAATAAAAATCTCAACATTATATTTCAATTAGGAAAATTAGAAAAGAGGAAAATTCCCTTTTGTGACCAACTGTGAAGTAGCAGTACAGATAAAAACATGGTAAACATAGTATTTTTTTTCCAATCAGAAGACCACAAACGCTACTGGCTTTAAACCTCAGGAGGCAGAATGCCGTTCTGTAGCGTTTCACTCCAATTTAACCCTCAAAAGTTATTCTACTCAAGTATCTGCTTTGTTCAACGTTTCTTACCTAAATGATCCAGAGCTTGAGCTCTACAGCTCTCTCTCTCTCTATATATATATAAAATTTAAGGACAACAAATCAAGGGACCCGTTGGTCCATCCGCTACCCTAAACTTTAAAATGAAAATAAAACACTCAAACAGTAACATTCATATATTTATCAAGTTTCCCTTATAATATTTGCATCCATCACATCTTAAGGCAACCCATTCCAAAGGCTAACTACCCTGTTAGAAAAATAAAACTGTCTTAGCTGAAGATGACTCCTACGCTGCCAAAATTGATATTTGTGTCCCCTAGTCCTACTATTCTCACCATTAAGTATGAAAAAAGATGATGCATCAACACTATCAAGTCCCTTTTCAATCTTAAACACCTCAGTCAGATCCACTCCTAGCTCTTTTTATGCTTTTTTCAAGAGAAAGCAATTTCAGACAGACATTTTAATTTGAGACTCAAGATCCCCACTCCAATACCTCAGACACCCTGGGACTCCATTAATAATTTAGTAGCCATCTTAAATAATTAAAAAAAAAAAACAATGAATGAAAGCAAAGGAGAAAATAATACATCAACCATACTACATCTGCTGTATCCACAGCCAGTGTTGTCTTTCGCCCAATACCAGGGATAATCAGGGCAAATGGGATATGACAGACATCATAGTGTTGTCTAGGCACTGTGCGTGTCATCATAATTTAAAAATCAGAACTTTTACATAGGAATTAACACCACAACATTATTTATCTTATTTTTACACTAATTATTTATCTTATTTTTACACTAATTATTTATCTTATTTTTACACTAATTATTTATCTTATTACTTACTTCTTAATTAATCTTTATTAGTCATTCTAAGGTACCTTACTTTCATTGCAATTTATTCTTTGAAAATAAAAAATAATGTCAAGCATAATAATCTTGTGTAACCACATTTCTTGCAATAAACAAAAATTTTGGTGAAAATCTTGCTTTATCAGTATTTAGTGGTGAAGTTTTAAAGAATATTTCTACACGTGCTGAGGACCCCCAGTTTGAGAACCACTAGTGCAGATACAGTTTTGGGGATAAAGTTTAGGCCCAGGATCTTGTAACAATTTATAAAAGCAGATCCAGAGGCTAATTTTTCACATAAGGTTAGGCATTCATCTGCCATTTACACTTAAAGACATTAAGCCCATACAGACTAACTGTAAGCTAAGGCTAACTCCCCCTTACGAGTAAGGAAATTTCAAGCAGTTATACTTATAGTCAAAGACTTGTCCACTGTAGTGGTAATGACAGTTTCATAATTAAACTCTGAAGTACCTTTGCCATGGCCTAACAAATCATTTAAAATTTATCGTTAATGAATTATACAGACTTTTTGAGAGAATGTGTCACAACTTCTGTAACTGTAAGTTACACTAACAGCATCTTATGAGTATTACAATATTATATTATTCATTAAAATTTACGTTCTTAAACAGATAATTTGATTTAATCATACGTTATTTTACTGAGATACTGTACTAAGTTATGAAACATTAACTTCATTAGTCAATATGGGTATTCATCATATCATTTGTTGCGACACGTGGTTAAACTTAAAATACATTCTTCGTAGAAAAACCTTGAAGGGCCGCATAAACTTAACTTAGGAATGTTGTGTTTAAAAATATAACACGCCTAATCCTACTGTCTCATGAACATTACTTGATGACAATCACACTTCACGACCGAAAGAAGTTCATACCATAATGATACTATATAACAATAATTAATATACATATATATATATATGTGACACTTATGTCGGTAATACTAATAGTACTAAGCCTGATGCTTCTGGGTTATACGGTTTTGAATTTAACTGTTATCCTATCCCTGTATCTAATATATAATACCTAATTACAAATTTATATGAAATTAAACCTTAGCCTATTAATGTACTTAAATAATTTTTACCAAGCCGTCGATCTGGACATAATCAATTGGACTTTCGGACTCCGTGTTACGCCTAGAACTTTTACCAGATGCCATTTTACCAACTCTTTACAACACGAAGATATACTCTCGATACTAACGAACTACACCTTTGTACTCTCAAACCATCGCTCTGTTGAATTGTGGATAGGTTTTGTAATTTCGAAAGTACGAAGGTTCAACTATAAGAAGAAAGATTGTGTAGTGTGAAGGACTTTTCGTAAGTACAGTAATTTTATTTGGGTCACATATAACCACTAACAGTATGTACTCCTATCTTCCAAGTTCCAGCTCAAAAGTTTATTTAATTCAAGTAACACGTTTTTAATTTTAAACGTTTGATGAGTCTTACTGAAAAGTAAAAAGCCTTAAAACTATAAAAGGTAAAATGATTAAGACACCAATTACCAATGGTGATAATACAATTATTATTTGAAAAGAAAAGCTTTAGGTAGTGCTCAACAACTAGTAGTAGTAGTAGTACAATCGAAGTCTTTAGCCTTTAATCTTTAGTTTAACTTGAAGTTAATGGTGATGAGGGAATCGTAACGCTGAAAACAGTGAGTCAGGCGTGACGTTTTCAATTATGATGTCAGTGAGCTTTTTGAGGTCTAACAGATAAATTAGTATTACTGTTAGTATGTTTATGAATGTACTAATAAATGTCTATATATAATACAGTAAATATATATATATGTAATTATTGCTTTTCTAGCTTATAAATATAATGTAGATGTATTCAGCAAATATTTTACAGAAATAATTTAACTGTCTATTTTGAAACAACAGTTTGTTAAAAGTTATGATTTACTTGAAGATTAAGAAAATTCCGAGTCCAAAGTCCAAAGTTTGGACACCTTGTTGCATAGCTATAGAGAAGCAGAAGGCCTGACATTTTCTTTCAACAAATCCTACTTTCTGATCAAAACAAGCCACCTATGTAGATCTAGATTCTTGTCTATGTATTTTATATAATAGTAGCTTATTAATGAGATATTCCCCAGATATTTGAAGATTACCAATTTCCTGTAATTAAAGCAGATTACTCATATGCTATACCTTATTATAGGTCTATCTGTATTATTTTCATTTCATTTGAAAAGTTAATTTATAGTAGATTGGAATCCATAAGTGTCGGCAGGGGGACACTTACTCCCCCTGGATTATCCATTTTGCATTTCTCTAATTATAGCTTTGATATCAGTTTGTCATCTCTAATATATTCCACAGATGCCGATGTTTATTTTAACACTTAATGTTTTTATAAATTCAAATCAATTAAGCTTTTTTAAAAATCACTACTGTCCATGCAGTGTTGGAGATTTATAATAAAGCATTAAAACATTCTGATTCTGGTAAGGTAACTTGTAGTGTCTTTTTAGACCTATCACAGGCCTTTGATGCTGTACAACATACAATATTATTGAAAAAAATTATCATTAAGATAGTATTGGACATTTTAAAAAATTATCTGACAGCAAACAGTATAGTCCATTATTTTTAATCTGACAGCAAACAGTATACCTCAGTCCATTATTTTTAATCTGACAGCAAACAGTATACCTCAGTCCATTATTTTTAATCTGACAGCAAACAGTATACCTCAGTCCATTATTTTTAATCTGACAGCAAACAGTATACCTCAGTCCATTATTTTTAATCTGACAGCAAACAGTATACCTCAGTCCATTATTTTTAATCTGACAGTAATTTTAATATAATGTGTGGAGTTTCACAAGGATTTACCTTGAGACCGCTTGTATTTCATATTTAATTAAATTATCTAGTAAATTCTAGTTCTTTTAACATTAGATTGATTATGAAACTAATTTATGTCCAATAACACCTTAAATGATTTACTATTGTTAGATAATAGGGAAATATATAATCCAGATGAATGGATACCAGCAAGTAAAGTTTCGGTTTATTTTAATAAAAGTAGATGATATTGTCAAATAAAAACAAACAAACAACAACTCACTTAGTCAAACAAAGTAACTATATCAGTATAGGAATTATTATTGATAATAAATTAAATTGGAAACAACATATAAAGATGATTAATATTGAACTGTCAAAACTGTTAGTATTATTTAAAAATTGAAGTATTGTGTTAAATCTGTAATTTTACAAATGGTTTAATATGCACTTGTATATCATTGTATTAATTTTGCAATTATGAGCTAGGTGGTCAGCCGGTATTACAAACCTACATCCAGTCAGTGTTGTTCGTAATACAACTGTAGAATATATGAACTTTTGGCCAAAGATGGACCATGTAACACCATATTATTTACCTTCAAATATTCTGAAAATTGGAGGTTTTATAAATTTGAAATAACGAAATTTATATGTAATTTAAAAATAATGTTACCTCTAATTTTACCAAATAATTTAATCAAAATAAGTGGTGTTCATAATCATATTACTGGACGATCTGCTTTAAACGACTTTCATTGAACTAGATGTCTGATATCATTAGGTCAAAGGTCTGGAAGGTATGGTCTGAGATATCTAGTAATTTAAAAATTGTTACTTTTTTACAAGGTAGGTTTTTCAGGATCTTTTTAAATCTTATGAAATACTGATGTGTTAATATATATATTTATCATATTTTCCTTCCTCCTCCACATAATGAAGAGGCTTTCCATATTAATCACATGTGTAATTTATCATATGGTAACCTATGTACATGTGTAAACTTACATGTCATAATCACATGTCATGTGTGTTATACTTGTTCAACGAATCAGCTGACCTAAATCTCCTTTCAAATTCAACATCATTCCAACTAAGCCTCAGATTTGTATAACATCAACAGACATTCCTCATCCTGACTATGACCCTGTCAGTGATTAATGTCAATGACAAACTCCTGAATCAGTGAGGTCATTAAATGTAAGAATAGTATATTAAATTAGCCATGTTAATTACCAGATTAATTTTTAGTTCTGATTTGTGAAAATAGTCCCAGCAAAGATTTCACCACTTGTAACAAGATTATTTCTACAAACTCCAAATGAATCAAATCAGCTTCCGTAACATCGTTAGTAAATCAGGAATGGAGTGTCAAATATTAGACAAGTCTGAAATTGTAGTATTATGGCACTTGTGTATAAAGTTAGTCATAAATAATACTCAACGTTAAATGAGGATGACGTTGTAATGTCGAAATATGTAGAGTCCTCAACTTTTTGAAGGCCATAGATAGGCCTAAATAAAATATTTTTAATTGTGTACCAGTTTGACGTTGAATATTATTTATGATTTTAAGTATGGAATTGTTTTGACACAACCAGTAGTACGACAGACCAGCCACTGAATTACATGCATGAAAACAAAAGGAATATAATACAAATGAAATGCAATTATACAGAAATCTTTTACCAAATACAGTTAGTTTTAGCTGTTAGTCAGGTGGTTAAGATTTAAAATACTAATGTATTCATATTTAGTGAACGTAGGTATAACTCTTTCGAAACATTTATCAAGGTACCTTTAAGACAATCTATATTTTAGGGTAAGGATACAAATTTAAAAATGTGTCACACTAAATAGTGTTTTAACTCTCTCACTGTTATGAGCACGTACACATCTCAGACAAGAACTTTGCCACAGGCACGCATAAATGTTTTAGACTTGTAAAGGGTGATATTAAGTTAAAAAGTACTCAATACAATAATTAATTTTTAATTGTTAATTAATTCTAAAACATCACAAGTATTGTTGCACATTAATTTACAAATTTTGAAAAGAAGTGCTTGAGTGATTATTTTACTTGGTGCACAGTCTGAGAACATGTTTGTCTTTGAAATATTTCCTGTTAATATGACAGTTAATATCCTGTTAATATGACAGTTGATATCCTGCTAATATGATGGTTAATATCCTGCTAATATGACAGTTAATATCCTGCTAATATGGCATTTAATATCCTGTTAATATGACAGTTAATATCCTGCTAATATAACAGTTAATATCCTGCTAATATGATGGTTAATATCCTGCTAATATGACAGTTAATATCCTGCTAATATGATGGTTAATATCCTGCTAATATGACAGTTAATATCCTGTTAATGTGACAGTTAATATCCTGTTAATATGACAGTTAATATCCCGTTAATATGACAGTTGATAAATGAGATGTGTGTTTCTGTGGAACTAAAATTAAATCAGACTTTGGAAGAGTTACTAATCTATAAATATGGCAGTGAATATCCTGTTAATATGACAGTTAATATCCTGTTAATATGACAGTTAATAAATGAGATGCGTGTTTCTGTGAAACTAAAATTAAATCAGACTTTAGAAGAGTTGCTAACCTATAAATATGGCAGTGAATGAGTGAAAGAAAATGTGAAATTAAACTTTTTTAATCCAGCATTTGTTTAGTTTGATTTCTTAATTCAAATTTATTGTTTTTCTCAGGTAACGATACAGGTTTTAGTACTCATCAAAATGTTGTATATATTCCATGTGGAAACAGGAACAATGATGACTTTTGATATGAATTTAGCTTTAGAAAGGTAAGTAGAATATGTTGTAAGCTACTATAAGGCTGTTCTTCTTGAGTGGAGTTCTGGTCAAGTGTTTTCTGCTTAATTGATGTTCTTTTTGTCAAGAGTTTGTTCTTTATTGAAGTTCTTTTGGTCAAGAGACTTTTGTTTGTTAAGTAACAGGAAATTATTATGGAAATATATTTTATTGAGTTTCAGCAAATAAAATGTAGTACTTTACTGTCTTTATAATTACTGTATTACCTTACTGTATCTATGATTACTGTATTACCTTACTGTATCTATGATTACTGTATTACCTTACTGTCTTTATAATTACTGTATTACCTTACTGTCTTTATAATTACTGTATTACCTTACTGTCTTTATAATTACTGTATTACCTTACTGTCTCTATAATTACTGTATTACCTTACTGTCTGTATAATTACTGTATTACCTTACTGTATCTATGATTACTGTATTACCTTACTGTATCTATGATTACTGTATT